CTGCTGAGGAGTCCTTGTGTGTGTGCTGGGATTTTAGACAGGGCAGTCACTCTGGAGGGCAGCCTGAGAGTTCTGGAAAAAGTCTTTATACACTGGGGTTCCAGCACTCAACACCTATTATATGCCCACAGAGGAAGCCATGAAAAGTCAACAAGGGAATGATGTATGGAGTCAACTGTTCACTGCAAACTTCCTGTCAAATTTCCTGTCAAAAATAATGAAAGTAAGAAGATAACCGATCCCATTTTTCAAAGCACAGTCATTTGTTGCTTAACAATAGGGTACTGTCTGAGAAACACATCATTGGGTGCTTTCATGGTGGTGTAAACATCATAGTGTGCACTTTCTCAGCCCAAGATGCTACAGCCTATCACACACACCTAGGCTGTGTGGCTATCCCTAGGTTACACACATTACAGCATGCTACTGAATATTGTAGGCATTTGTAGCACAATGATATTTTTGTATCTAAACATATATAGACACAGAAAAGATACAGGGAAAATAGGGCATAGGGGATAATAATGGTACATCTGTACAGGGCACGCCCCATCAATGGAGCTCACAGGGCCAGGAATTGCTCTGGGCAAGTCAATGAGTGATGAGCAGATGTGAAGGAGCCCCAGGACATCAGTGAGCACTGCTGTAGGTTTTGTAAACACAGTGCACTTAGGCTACACAGAATATATAAAGAAACAAACTTTTCTTCCTTCAATAATAAATTAATAGCTTATTGTAGCATTTTTACTTTATGAACTTTCAAAAATATTGGTTACTTGACTCTTGTAAAAACATAAATTTAGAGCCCAAACTTACTGTTTAGCTCTGCAAAAAATTTTCTTTCTTTATATCACTGAACTTTGCTGTTCATTGAGATTGGGCTACTGTATCACTCTGTTTTGCTGTCTCTGCCACACAAGATGCTTTTTATATAACATAAATATCTTTTCTGACTTTTTTGAAACTTCTTTATTTTGGGAGTTCAACTGTACTTTAATATGTGTGGTAGGAACATTTGTTCCTTCTTAGAATTTGTTGACCTTTTAAAATCTGTGAACAATCACGTTTGACGATTTGGGGAAAACATGTTTTTGTCATTTAATATGAATTATAAATTTCTAACTAATTTTATATGAAGACAGCACATGTTCTAATAATGTAAAATACTATCATATTAATATAATCTGTAGTAATTAGCAAAATTAAGATCTCATGGCAGCTTTATAATATGAAGTAAAAAATATACATGTGTTTGTAATATATATATATATATATATATATATATATATATATATATATATATATTTAAGACTGTTAGAAGACTTTTAAGTAAATATTTAGTTTTCATTTGACACTATCAGTACCTTTTATTGGCCTTTCAAATTTGAAATCAGAAACACATTCCTTGTGTTCATTCAACAGACTTATTTGTTGAGCAAGTCCCTGTGCTAAGTACCATACCATCTTTTTCTATTTGTAAGAAATTTCAAATTTAATATGTTTTTGTACATATATCTTCTTGTTTTGTCCACAGAATCTTCTGAGGTAATTAAGGTAAATATTCATTTTCTCAATGTACAAATAAGAAAAGAAAGTCTTCAGAAAAGCGGGCTCATGCACTAGGTGTCTGGTTGGGGTCACATGACTAGAGTGGAGACTGAAGATTGGAATCTCAACCAGAAGACCAGAGAATAGTAGAGTACTATTATCTGTCTACTTTCAGCTTCTCTTTGTGTTATGGGTGATCTCTAAAGAAGGTCATTTAGAATATCTCCTTATGGTATCATGTTCTGTGGAGAGCCATGTGTGGACTATACCAGCATTGCAGCCTAGTGAATAGGAGAATCTGGTGCTGGGATCTTCCAGTGGAAATTTCCTCTGGCCAAGGCCACCCAGATACATTGTGAGCCCTATTCAAGCTCTGCCTGGTCCTATACAGCACCGGAGATGGGGTGACCTGCTGCAAACACACAGCCTCTCAGAAATGGGTGTGACCTGCCAAGATGCCAACCAACCTGTGAACTGCAATACTTTACCTCTGAAACCTTATCCTGCCTTTGATGTATCCCCTTAAATAAACTACAGGAGCCATATTTTAATTGCCCATCCCCATCTCCTGTATGGACTGAATCTATCAGGGACCCTACTTTAAAACTATGTTTCTGACTCTGTGTCTTTTGTTCTTCACTGATTATTTTTGACTTATTTTCTCCATGGCTCACAATCTCCTGGTCTGGAAGAAGGACTCCTGGAGAGGCGCTGGTAGCCTCCCCAAAATGTTCCTTGTATTATATGGGAATGGAATATCTGAAGTTAAAATTTGTGTGATTACCCCTAGTGGACATTGAAGGCATCTTGCCCTAACCCTTTGTGCCACAGCACTTCAGTGTGTGTCTACTAAGTTCCAGCAACCTGTGCCTGCAGCTCTTTCCTTGATCAGAAACCAGCAAGAGTTGTCCTATCTACTAGAAGGGATAGGGAATTATTATCATTCACCCAGAGTAGCTTTCCATACAAAGTCCTATTCCTTAGGTGGGTGAAGTCTGATGGTATGTTCTGCACTGTTTGCCAGTCTCACCAAAAATCTATGGCTCCAGCAGCCTATACTTCAGCCAGCTTGATACATGTCCTTTACTGACACTTAAATGCTCCTGTCCATCCCACTCTACTGTTCCCATTGCCTCCACCTCCCAAATTAGCCACCTGCCCTGCCTGGAATCCTTGTCTGGGACTATACTTCAGCAGGACCTAAAAAATAAGACACCATGCATGGCAGCCCTGTGTATAAAGGTTAAATGGCTACCCAGGATGTTTGTATGTTTCTAATAAACATGGAGATGTGTCAGTTGTGTTGTTTGTGTACATAGAAAGAGAAGGTGTGTTTTTCACACTCTAAACCTTTAGTAAAAGTCTCCTGAAAAAAAAGACAAATGACCCAATAGTTTCTACTTGGAAAACAGAAATTCTTACATCTACTACTCTATCATCTGTATTAAGAAGTAAAGTGCTCCGTTCTACATAACTATGAAATTCTTGGTTGTTGATGGAGATTCATAAATGTAACATTTTAATTTATACACTCATATAGACAAGAAGATGATAGGAAAAAGATGGAGAGTAGCTTCTCCATGACTAAAGAGGAAAAGTGTATTGAACTTAAAGGTAGAAAGAAAGAATCTGGCAAAATTCTGCAAGTGAAATTTAAAAAAAAAAAAACAGTATAGTAAGTATCATGAAGACTTTCTAGTGGCCATAATCATCATATAGCACATGGTCAATTCATACAGATGCCATGAAAAGGCTACACTTTAAATTGAAGTTTGTTTACATTTTTACCGATGTGGTACACATACTAAATATGTTCACTCTATACCACTGGAATGCAAATCAGTGCCAAGGAATCAAGAACTTTATGAAATGCCTTTATACAAAATTAAAGATAGAGATGAAACCATGGGGAGAGATGTTAAAAAAACTTAGTATGTTTCATTTCTATATAAGCTAAGCTGGAAAGATCCCTGTGCTCCCCTTTCCAGTAGAGATCATTGTTGACATATGTTACCACTTAAATGAACCACTTGTCAATGTAAGCACAGCATTTGAAAAGGGAAGCTTTCTTCTATTGGTTATTCAACAACTCTGTGGTTTCTCTTGCTTGTCCCATTAGCTCCCACTCTGTCACTTTAGTGAACAGTTTTTTTAAAAAAATAACATTCTTATTTGTATTGAGAAATAGATTTCCCTCAGAAATTTAGGGAGACTCTCCACTAATGATAACAACTGCTACTAACTCAAATTTGGATAATATTTCCTGAGGATGGGTGAACTTCCAGCACAAAATTCCAACACAAAAGTCTCCTTTTCATTAAATTGAAGTTCATTTGAATTATAAAGTATAGTTTTGAAGTACCTGATCAGAATTTTTGAGAACTATATTCTTCAAATGTTACAAACCAAAGCTTTTTTTTAGTTTTATAATACTTTATTAACTTCAAACTTTCTTAATATCTTAGTTAACATAAATGTATTTGCTGAGATAAAACTTTTGAGTGCATATTGAAAAAAAGTAGTCAATGGGTCCTACTAGATAAGTTGTAACAGATGCAAAGAAATTGAGATACATGGGAAAGAGAAAATGCAGAAGTTTTACTACTAAGCAACCTACTGAAAAAGGAAAACTTAATGACAATGTAAGAATCCTTCTGATTTTATCATCTATGGTTAGAAGCACCATTTTATACTTCATCTTTGTTTGCTTTTTGAGCTCACTTCAAACAAGTATTAATATAATATAAAATTAAGATATAGTTAGTCCTGCAAGACTAACAAGTAAATATAGTACCTAACACTAATCTGAACATTATAAAAATAATAGAATAATGACTACATACACATTTTGTGGTTTGGAGCTCTTTTCTACTTGATTTTTGAGAAACGTTCACTCAAAGAAAGTAGTTGAAATAAAAACAGTCCTTTCTTAAAAGATAAACCATGTATTGCGCTCATGAGTTACTCCTGAAGGGAAAGGCAGGCTCTAGTTCCCTGCACACATTGGAAAATGGCAATACTGATTTTGTGGTTGGAAGTGAAACTCAGAAGCCCTCTGACAGGTCTCATCTAGCTTTAAAAGGCGACTTCATCATCAACTGAGAAGATGCAGGCAAAATGGCAATCGGACATACCACTCAGTACACTTTTCAAGGTTTTTTGTTTTATTTGTTGTTTTTTCCCTGAACTCAATTTCCATATCTGGATTTCCATATGAGAAAAAGAAAAAAATACTTTGATCCACCAGTAAAATTTATATAAAGTTTATATAAAATAAATAATGTTCAGAAGATAACAATCAGCCATAAAGAGGAGCATCATATATTAATCATAGTGTATAAATACTGCAATTGTTATGGTGCTTGGGACAGCTGCCTTCTTGTCCCTGAGGAATACAAACACCAATATACCATTATATTGTATGACAAAATGAAGGACCGGACACCAAGACCTGGAAGCAACACTTTATTAGTAGCCATAGCCCTGAGGGATAATTCCCAAAGTCTGAGCCCCAAGTACAGCAGGCTTTTACTTTTATACATAAGCAAGTTTGGTGTACATCAAGGCAAGGGAGTTGATGCAATTCTGTTGGAGTTGATGCAATTCTGTATTCTATATTACTTATATGGATACAAACACTCTGCTTGTCAGTAGCTAGGGACTCAGCTCAGACAATTTAGGGATTTTTACAACACTAAGCCTAAAGGGGGGTTGTTCTGTTCCCAGTATTTTGTTTCCTGCTTCTCCTACTGTGGTTACAAGTACTTGTTAGCTGCCGTAAACCTCTATGTTTAAATGTCAGTAAGTGGAGCTGCTATGTGTCAGCTTGCAAAACCACAGCCTGTCAGCTCCTAAACTGCTAAATTTTCCATTCTCTTCTACCACAATGCATGGATATTAGTGCATTGTGGTAGAAGAATGTATTCTTTCCGACTCCACCTTCTGTGCCATCTGTGGACAGGGAGGAGGAAGGGCAGGATCCTCTGGGGCGAGGCTGACATTGAGTCCCGCAGGTGTGCCTAGACTGTGACTTGTCTAGGAAGCTGCATCATCAGATTCCCAGCACTCCAGCTCTTTCTGCACCAGCATCTGTTCCCTGTGGATTTCACTGTCATGACCCAGCCTTTCATCCTAATAAGGGAAAAGAAACCAAGGTGTTGTTGGTGGGGTTATGCATACTCTGGCACATAGTAATATTTTTAGGACATTCAGGGGCCAAATAATCTGTTAGAGCAAATAATAGTAATTCTGGGTCACTGGAATAATTGTTCACTTAATTGTACCCTTCATTAAAGGCAGGGCCAGTGTGTGGGGTACCGAGTAACACCTCCAGATTCTCATTTGATCTGCGGTTATAGAGGCAGATAAGCATCTCAGGGGAAGGATTTTAAAATATGTCTACCCTGATGTTTTATAGAAACAAAGAGTGAATGTGTTTCAAAGAGAAAATTTTGAAAATGATGGTGAATATAAACAATGGTATGAATAAAGTACAATTTATTTTTCTCTTCTTCAATACTTCAACTAGAACACTGTATCATCAATGTATATTTTATTCAATAAAATGTTGTTCACCCATCAGGTATTTTCCAGCCCATGACCACTGACCTTGGCCTCTCCATCTAGCAGTCTCCCAAGCATATTGTTGAACTTGGACACCATTCTGCCAGTGAAGTGCTCCATGCAGTCCTCACATCTCTCTCACTGCAGGAAACCTCAGTCAAGAGGGCCAAAGCCACTGTGTGATTATCATTTCAGCCTAGTTAGCTTTAAAAATGGAAAAGCTGAGTTTTTCCTTAAACATTATGATGACCTGAACTGTCACATTTTTTTCCCCTTTTGCTGTGCTGGAAGGACACCCAGAGCCTCAGACATGCTGAGCAAGCACTCTGCCTTTGAGCTATTTCCCACCTAGAAACAATACATTCTAGATTTAGAACTTTTGCTAGTTTGGTTTTGGTACTAGGGATTGAACCTAGAGATACTTTATCACCGAGTCACATCTCCAGTCCTATTCATTTTTAATTTTGAGACAGAGTCTTGTTAAGTTGCTGATGCTGGCCTTGAACTTGTGATCCTCCTGCTTCAGCCTCCAGGATTACAACCATGTGCCACCACACCTTGCCAATTTTAGAAATTTTTCTAAAGGAAACTTTTGATGTATAAGTACTGTCTGCACATATTCACTAGAATGTTGCTTATTAATAGGGTATCCTTGACAAATGGCTACATTAAACAATCCATAGAAGATTGTTCATCTATGCAATGGAGTTCTAAGATAAGACTAGAAAGTATTTTGTGACAGAATATTTAATAAAATAGAATTTTGTTCATAATATATTAAGTAAGTGAAGCAGCTACAAAACACTGTACTGTGTTATTACCCACTATTTTTAAAAATAAAAATAAAAGAGTATAAGTACCTTAAAATGTGAAACAGCGACCATTTCTGAAATAGCAACACAAGAGCTCTGTAGATTCTCTCTCTGATGAAACAACTGTGTTAAAAATTACTTCTGACAACTCAAATGTAGGGGTTCTGTGTTTGGTATTGGGTCCCTGATGACTTCATGGCTGTGGCATGCTTAGTTTCTGTGCAAAGGCATAGGATGCCTGGTTGCTATGGTAATACCCTCCATGCTAGAGTCATATCAGTTTCCACCTTAATGGTAGGCACATAACTCCCAGGAATAAAGGAACTTGCTTTCTTGATAACTACAATGATTCACCAAGCTCCAGTGCTCCTGGATCTGCCCACCTAACAGTAACTTCAGGCAATGGACTTTCTTGAGAAAGCTCCTAACATTACATATTGTAACTGTGAAATGTAACTACAGAATAAGCAACCTTACTGATACTCTAAACAATAATGTGGTTATGATACTAATGACCTAATGTAACCTACTGGTATAAATAAATGTGGCCACTTGGACAAAGAGCCACTCTGCTATCTTCCCTGCCTCTACACCTTCCTTGACTCTGTCTCCTCTTTATTATTATTTCTTATACTCAAACAATTAAATGCTTTAGAAATTGTATTGCTTAAAGTCTGCCCTCTAACATTACTTAGTACAGAAATGTTTTGAAAAATTATTTCCAGATTTGTTGCCTCCTACTTCCTTAAATACTGCAATTCCTTTGTAACTTTGCTTATGATTAATACTCTAGGAGTGTGGGGCTCCAGGAGTTACCTTGATTTATATGAACCATGTGATGTCACATAGCTGTCATAGATGTGGGATGCAGTTCTAACAGCAACAGGGTCCATTGGTTCCATGCCATATGTATTCTGTAGGATTTTTATTTTACATGAAAACTCTTTCTGAAGCATACATGTATGTGACTTGAGAGGCAGGGGCAGAGTGGATTAGAGGGTTAGTATAAAAATTAAATAAGTTTTCTTGTATGAAGAAACCCTTCGAACAGGGTCTAACACATAGTAGCTTCTAAAGCATAAGCCATTATCATTAGAATTATTATGAGTGTTGTTGCTATGTCATTCAAAACATGTCCATGTAGTTCTTTTTTAATGCCTAATGTTTTCTCACACCCACTATATTTTATTAACTAATAATAGTGATTTGATAGGGACTTGATATAAATGCTTTGCAAATGCTGTGTTGGTTAGTTTTTCACCAAAATACATGACAAGAATAAAGGAGAAAAGATTTATTGTGGTTCATGGTTTCAGATGTCCTAGTTCATGATCAGATGACTATTGCAGAAATGTCATGCAAGTGCATGGCAGAGGAAAGCCACTCAGCTCATGGTAGCTGGAGAGCAGAGAGAGAGAGAGAGTTGGGAGGGTGGAGAGGAAGGGGCCAGGGAAAGATAATATATATGTTATTGCTTCAGATAATAAGTCTTTATTGAGTACCTGTAAAACATAGATACTGGAAAAGGGAGGAAAAACACTTAGAGGCAAATTATTCAGAGATAATCAGGTTTTACCTACTGAATGAATGAATGAGAGACTGTCTGTATCTTTCTGTATTGCAAAATACATATTCCTGCTGGGCGTGTTGGTGCACACCTGTAATCCCAGCGACTCGGGAGGCTGAGGCAGGAGGATCAGGAATTCAAAGCCAGCCTCAGCAAAAGCGAGGCATTAAGCAACTCAGTGAGACCCTGTCTCTACTTAAAATACAAAAGAGGGCTGGGGATATGGCTCAGTGGTCAAATGCCACTCAGCACAATCGCCAGTACCCACCACCTCCAAAAGGTCTCTATGTATTCTTCTCAACCAGATTATATGTGTTTTCAGTGCATGGTTTGTATTTGTTTATGCCCTTCATGTTGCCTAGTAAAATTATGTGCATCTAATAAAAGTCTTAGGCTTGTTGGTTGATTAACATTCCATTTAAAAAATTACACATAATTTAAGGAGGTATAATACCAGAAGGATAGAGGGAAATATAAGGGGCAAGAACTTCTTTGTGATAGGAGGCCTTGGAAAGTTCTTCCTTCATATCAAAATTATTGAAGGTATGGATTCCAAAGGGCACAAAAAAAATCCCTGCAAATAAACACATGTATTAATATAAACTTAAAATCATAAACATACATTTGAGAAGGATGAACTTTAAACCAGACAGAAAATTCTGAATAATTACATGGCAATTCTCTTAAAAAACAAAGATAGAACTCCTAAATGGGGCAGCATTCTCACTACTAGGAATATATACAAAGAAAATGAAAATCAGAACATTAAAGAGACCTCTGCACATCTGTGGATATTGCAGCACTATTTATAGTGGCTAAGATATGGAATCAACTAGTGTCCATCAACTGACGTTCCTTATTGCCTACGTGGCTTAAACAATATGATCCTCAGTTTTCTTCTCTATAAGATGGAATACTTAACTTCACCACAGTATTTTTTGGTGTGTAAATAGTAATAACTAAGATTCATATAGTACAAGGTGGGCCCTTAACAAATATCTAATAGCAGTGCTTCTTCTTTCCTAACTGGGCTGCCACAGCACATTTATTAGAAACATCAGCACTTTAACATGTACCGTCTTATGCTGGAATCTAATGATCATAGATTCAATGTGCTATCATTCCCATAATTAACTGATAAAAAGCTTCAAGGGCTATTTTTTCTCCAATGAATATTCATGGCACCTTTGTCTAGAATGAGAAACTGTATTTATGTGGATTTGTCTCTGTTTCTTCTATTCTGTACCATTGGTCTGTTTGGGTGTCAATATCATGTCTTTTTTTTTTTTTTAATTCTGGCTCTGTAGTACAGTTTAAGGTCTGGTGTTGAGATGCCTCCTGCTTCACTCTTTTTGCTAAGGATTACCTTGGCTATTCTGGGTCGTGTTTTTTTCCAAATGAATTTCATGATTGCTTTTTCTAGTTCTGTGAAGAATGTCACTGGGATTTTAATAGGAACTGCATTAAAACTGTATAATACTTTTGGTAGTATGACCACTTTAACTGCATTAATTCTGCCTATGCAAGAGCATGGGAGATCTTTCCATCTTCTAAGGTCCTCTTCAATTCTTTTTTTTAGTGTTCTGTAGTTTTCATTGTAGAGATCATTCACCTCTTTTGTTAGATTGATTCTCAAGTACTTTTTTTTTTGAGGCTTTTGTGAATGGGGTAGTTTTCCTAATTTCTCTTTCAGTGGATTCATCACTGATGTATAGGAACACATTTGATTTATGGGTATTGAGTTTATATCTTGTTACTTTGTGGAATTCAACAAATGATGTTGGAGAAACTAGAAATCCATATGTAGCAAAATGAAATTAAATACATCTCACCCTACATGAAACTCAACTCACAGTGGATCAAAGACTTAGGCACTAGAACAGAGACCCTGCACCTAATACACAAAAAAGTAGGCCCAAATCTCCACAGTGTTGGCTTAGGAACTGACTTCATTAACAAGACTCCTAAAACGCAAGAAATAAGATCAAGAATCAATAAATGAGACACATTCAAACTTAAAACCTTCTTCTGAGCAAAGGAAACAATTCATCACATGAAGAGAAAGTCCACAGAATGGGAGAAATTATTTACCACCTGCACCTCACATAGAGCATTAATCTACAGGATACATAAAAAAAAAAAAAAAACTCAAAAAACTTAACACCACACACAAAAAATAAATAAATAAACCCCACCAAATAATTTAGTCAATAAATGGGCTAAGGAAATGAACAAACACTTCACAGAAGAAGATATAAAAATCAATCAGCAAATATATGAAAAAATGTTTAACATATCAAGCAATTAGAGGAATGCAAATCAAAACTAAGATTTTTATCTCACTCCAGTCAGAATGGTAATTATCAAGAATATAAGCAACAATAAACGTTGGCAAGGATGTGGGGGAAAAATATTCATACATTGTTGGTGGGACTGCAAATTGGTACAAACATTATGAAAAGTGGTATGGAGATTGCTCAGAAAACTTGGAATGGAACCATCATTTGACCCAGCTATCCTACTCCTCAGTTTATACCTGAAGGACTGAAAATCAGCATAGTATAGTGATGTGGTCAGTTCAATGTTTATAGCAGCTCAATTCACAACAGCTAAACTGAGGAACCAAACTAGATGCCCTTCAACAGATGAATGGATAAAGAAAATTTGGTATCTATACACAATGGAATATTACCCAGCCTTAAAAAACAAAATTATGGCATTTGCAGGTAAATGGATGGAGTTGGAGAATATCATGCTAAGTGAAATAATACAATCCCAAAAAACCAAAGGCCGAATGTTTTCTCTGATATGCAGATGCTAATTCACAGTAAGAGGGTGGGGGTTAGGGACTAATAGAGGTATTTTTATTAGGCAGAAGAAAGTGAAGGGAGGGGAGGGGGTACGGGGATAGGAAGGGTATATCAATGAAGAGGACATTAAAACCCTTTGTGCATATATGATTTCAGGTCCTGCATAACTCTACATAATGTACAACCAGAAGAATGAGGTGTTATACTCCATTTATGCATGATGTGTCAAAATGTGTTCTATTGTAACATATGACTAATCAAAAAAATGTTTTTGAAAGCTTCAAGTGGAAGAAATACATCTTATATTTTTTGGGGGGGCTATACTGCTAAAACCCCAGCAATTTATTAATACTTACCTGAATCCATAATAATATTCAGGAATCAAAAAATACATACTAAACCTTATATTAAATTATACAATTAAATTATACAATGTAATAAATTCTCTATCATTTAGCCTTCTTTCCCCCTTAAAATATGTGAATAATTAAAATTACTTAAACAAATGAGTTGGCAGTAGTCATCTACACTTGTTGTGTTTAGCAGTTCATCTTAAGACAACAATTAACATCCACAATACTCACTACACGTATACTGCATCAGAGAAGTAGGAATGGCTTCCTAACCAGTTGTCCTTGAACCAAAGTACCATGAACAGTCTTCCTCAAATGTTACTTGACCTGCCACATCTCAAACTATATTTGACCTGATTTAAAATTCTAACCCATTCACATTTATGGAACAAGTACTAGACATGAAGCTGAACAAGATGTGACCTCTCCCTCCAAAAGAGAAACTTACAGTATTCCCAGGGAAAACGCTGCCTGCCCAGCAACCACCAAGGAGTGGACACAGATAGAATGCAGAGTCCTTATGTGATCCGGAGCCATTTAAGTAAACAAAGTTGACATGAAAGTGTAAGGTTGAGGCTCCAAAGCCAACTAAACAATTCAGTTGATTACTTTCAATTAATATGAAATTAGAATATACTTTGGGTGGATTGGCTACTATACACCATTCTGGGGTTTTAGCCTGTTGGTTTGTTGTTTTTAAGGGGAATTTTTAAAAATTAAAATTATTTAAAAATTTGGACTTGTAAATATGGTATAGTTACAGGTAAATATGTAAATTAAAGTGCTTTGGGTACTGATTTAAAAATGGATCTTTCTCATTTTCCTATTGTGCTTAAGAACCAATATACTGACTTTTGGTTTTGAAATTCTCAGAATCTGGCTTTTGTTGCTTCAGTGAAAGGGAAGCAACAACTTCCTTGGTGTCCAGCAGGTTCTCCAGCATTTTTCCAGCTTTGAAGAATGATTATTGTAACAGACCTTTTACCAGCAAACAGGAGCTCAGTGCTCTCTTGTACCATGTCTGGGTATCCCAGATGGCTTCGAGTGACAGTTTTGTACACTCTAGGAGTCAGTTACATCCTTAGTTCAAGGGGATGGCAATTCAACTGCCCTTCAATGACCCCTGGATTTGGAATCAGATGATTTGGCTCAGAGTTTGTTTACCCCAACCTGAATATCTGCCTCTGGGGTTCATGATTGTGGTTCTTGGTGTCTTGGGATACTGGACAGCTATTAACTCTCCTAAGATTGAATTCTGTTTTCTAGAAAAAGAGCATAATAATAACGACAGCTTTTGTGAAGCCCAATAATAGAAAAGTATGTTAAGACTGCTGCACACTATAAAATGCCATGGAAATGTGACAGTTACAGTTGTGTCTCTTCTTCATTCAGTCCATCACCCCCCACCCTACCCCCACGGCTGCTTCTGTGTGAATCACAGATCAATAGGTCCACCTCCTGTAAACTTTTCTTATCTGTAAAAAAAAAAAAAAACAGTGTTTTTGATTTGTCCCTGCGTGCTCTCTGTGACTGGGTTCTCAGTTCCTGGTGTTTATTGTGATCGTCCTTGGCTGCATTCGTCTTCTTCCTTCCGCCCGCCCAGACTGGGTAAAATCTTGCGGAGCAGACGCGTCGGGGAGACGCTTCCAGCGCCCTGATCAAGCACATTGGAGCCCCGCTCAGGGAAGCCTGGTCCGTTGGACCCAGCTCACAATCCCCAGCCCTAAGCGCAGCCTCCCTGTGCAGGAGCCACCCGCGGTGAGTGCTGGGGGTGGATGGGACGTGTGTGTGTGTGTGTGTGTGTGTGTGTGTGTGTGTGTGGTCGTCCTGGTCCCAGGAAGGCTCTGCCTCAGCTGCAGCTGTGTCCTGGGTCAGCAAACCGCATCCCCAGAGCACAGGAGGGAAGGGGAAACTGTCAGCCCTCTCCCCTGGGTAGGCATGAGACCTGAGACAGAAAGTGAATGCATCCAGCGCCCAAACCTAGGGAAACTGTATTGAGGCCTCTGCTAGAGCCAAAAGGGAGAGACAGCTCTGACCAACAGTGCTAGGCTGGCTCTTGGATCAGCAGCAACAACAAAAAGGGTAAAGTTTTTATTCATGTGTCAGGATTGCAGGGGTGGGCTTTATAGAGTCTAAAAATTCTCCCTTATTTTGGGCACAGTTTCAAAAGGTGTTTTCATTTGCACACACTGTGGCCTTGGGGCGGGAGCTTTTGCAGTCCTCTTTATTGGACTCACTCATGTATAAACATCCTTGCCCAGGGTAAGAGTGAGCTGCTGTCTCTGCTAAAACAAGATAGGTGCGGGTGGAAGAAAGCATGAATCTCTGGAGTATCACGTTAAAGATCCCAGGAATTCGCCTTTAGCCAGGAATTTGTGGGATGTCCCAACAGTTTTAATACTGAAAGCTCAGTTCTTGTCTCTGTTGCTAATCCAATAATGAGGAAAGAGTTTTGAGAAAAAGGTAAAAGTTGTATTGATCTGCTAGCAATGGAGAAACGGGGACTACTGTCCCAGAGGCTGGGATTCTCCCTGCCAGGGATAAAACCAGGCTTTTAAAAGAGGAACAAGGATAGGGCAGAGGGGTGGGAGGGGAAGGGATGAGGCACGGGGTTATTAATGATGGTGGGATGTGATGATCATTATTATCCAAAGTACAGGTATGCAGACACGAATTGGTGTGAATATACTATGTATACAACCAGAGATATGAAAAATTGTGCTCTATATGTGTTATAAGAATTGGAATGCATTCTTCTGTAATATATAAATTAAAAAAAAAAACTCAAAAATCTTTTTCTTAGTAGAACTTTACAGCAAGGAAAAAATCACCCCTGAAAAGTCCATGGCTTAACTTCTATGACATCCATAACTGAGGGTATGCAGGCTATTACTTGCCAAAGAGGACTCCTCTGAGGATAGACATTCTCCGGACTGGAAGAGACTATGTTACGTATACTTATGACCATTTGACCAGTGTTTACACACTCTAAGTCTCTTATTTCTCTCTCTCTCTCTCTCTCTCTCTCTCTCTCTCTCTCTCTCTCTCTCTCACACACACACACACACACACACACAGAGAAATATATAATAATGAGAGGTATTAGAATCTGCTAGTGAAAGATGGGCTAAAAGTACAGGAAAATATAAGAACATAAGTCAAACTTGGACATAAGTTGTGATGGAAAAGGAAAGCATATTTAAAAAAAAAAAGAAGAAGAAAAAGGGCTGGGATCCAAATATTAACAAATATTAAAATGAGTGATCAGTGCAGTCCTCAAGACAGTTAATGCTCCAGTTCCCATTTTTACAGTTTATTCATGTTTTTACTTCTCATTTTTACTGTTTATTCACATGGGAAGTGATATTTCTTTAGTCAAAGAAGGACACGATAGCTTATTAGGGTATTGGAACAGTCTTAGTCTCCTTTTCTATACTTTTAGGAAAGGGGGATGGAGAAGAAGAAGTAAGGAAAGAAATACATGTCTGTTTTAAAACAACCCACCTGAGGTTGGGCAGCAAAGTTTGTTCTCAAAGCATAAAATGGAATCCTGTTACATTTCCCTATTGTCAATTTTTATCCTCCATTTCTATGGAAAATGGGTGATAACATCTCCTAGCTATTTCCTGCTGAAAATAGATGATAAAGGGGATCCTTAGAATGGAAGTCTTTTTGCCTATTATTGTCATTTTTTCCTTCTGGGCTTTTACAAGAAGGGATACAGCCCTGTTTCCACCCTTGGTGGGGACCTAAAGGAAGCATACTCACATAGAACAGTTAATATTTGTCTGATATGTTGTACATAGTGTTCTAATCTAGTTTTTTTCTTCAATAGCCATGTTTGCCCTTCTCCCTTTGGGGTTCTAGGAAGGGTCTCCCGTACAGTATTTGATAGGGGCTCATTTTAAGTCTGCTTAAGTGGACCACTCTAGTCGAAGGGAATAATTGGTAATACCTTATCCCACTGCAAATGAGTCCTTGATGTAATTTAGTCACCATTTCTTTAAGGTCTGATTCATCTTTTCCATTTTTCCTGTAGATTGGGGTCTTCAGGATACAAGCAGCTTCTATTGGATATCCTATGTTTTGCTCACTTATTGTGATACTTTGTAATGGAAGATAGTCATTTGTCAGTCTGTACCCAGGAGAGGAATCCATGTCTTGGGGCTGGCTCATTTAAGATGGCTTTTGTAATTTCCTTAGATTTTCTTTTGCTAGTAGGATAAGCCTCAACCCACCCTGAGAAGATGTCTACCAGTATCAGCAAATAGCTCAAGTTTCCCATGGCATGGGATATTTGGGTTATATCTCATTTCTACAGCATTCTGTGTCTTTTACAGTTGGCTACCTTTCACAGTGTTTTGTGTATATAGGACATAGTTTTGAGTCATCTGTGATAGTCTGTTGGAAGCATGGCCTTTGCATGTTTGACAAGGCGTCCCTCCCATAGAGAGTTCTTGTTGGTGTTTTACCAAAGGCAAGACCAGTGCTTCAGGCAAGAGAATGAGCCCATGGGAATTCTGTTTTCACTTTGTACTGTTATCCCAGAAGTCAGAACTCCACTCTATGGCCCATTTCTCATCTTTGTCAGTATAATGAGGTTTGTATTGGTCTAATTCAATCTGTGGTATTAGGGTCTTGTAAACATTTTTTCTTTTTTGGTATGGTCCTTTTGGCTACCCTATCAGCAGCCTAATTTTCCCTGGCCACATAAGTATCTGTCTTCTTATGACTAGGACAGTGTATGATTGTCAACTCCCCTGGTTCGGTCACAACCTATATCCATGTCAATATTTTAAGGTATTTGTTTTCAAAGGGGACGAACCCTCTTTCTTTCCAAAGAGCTTCATGTGCATGTACTATCCTGAAAATATTTTGAGTTAGCATAAATGTTTACCTTTTTCCCTTTGTACAATCCAAGAGCTCTTATCAGAGCAGTTAGGCTATATGGGTTGATATTTCCAGAGGCAGTCTTGGATTCCTATACCTATTATTTTGTGACCACCTTGTATCCAGTTATCTGTTGGCTATTATCCACAAAGTTGATCCTCTCAGTGAAAAAGTTCCAGTCCATCCAGCCCTTGATAGGCTAGTCACCAGGACTTGGTGAGGATCAGGAGGCTGAGGCAGAAAGATTGTGAATTTAAAGCCAACCTCAGCAAAAGCGAGGCACTAAACAACTCAATGAGACCCTGTCTCTACATAAAATAGGGCTGGGAATGTGGTTCAGTGATCAAATACCCCTGAGATCAATCCCCAGTACCCACCCAAAAATCTGACTCTTTTCAGTGGACTTCTTATATTCACACAAGGCAAGGTGGTCTAGTAAAAGAACCATAGCGTTAGAAAGGCAGTGTTCACAGTCAGGGTTGGCTATAAATAGGTCACCCACTTATGAAAGGATCTCTTGATCTAGCCATAACTCTCACAAGGTCTTTTGCTGGACTCTCCTTATACAAAGTGTGAGAGTTTGGGGCTGGGGATGTGGCTCAAGCGGTAGCGTGCTTGCCTGGCATGTGTGTGGCCCAGGTTCGATCCTCAGCACCACATACAAACAAAGATGTTATGTCCGCCGAAAAAAACTAAAAAATAAATATTAAAATTCTCTCTCTCTCTCTCTCTCTCTCTCTCTTTAAAAACAAAAAAAAAAAAAACCAACAAAGTGTGAGAATTTTTAAATCTCGGAGGTAGGATAGTCCAGCAACACTGTGTGGTTACTTTGGTTTTGGGGTCCTACCTCTCAAAAGCAAATGGTAATTGGGACTTGCTTTCCAGTAGAATGGAGAAGAATCCTCCTTATAAGTCCAGCACTGAACCAATCATAGTCACCTGGAATTACTGTCTGCAGGGTGTAGGCATTTGGCACTGTGGGGTGAATGTTCTGGGCATTATTACTTATAGCTTCCAAGTCTTATATACTTCAATACTCATCAGTGTGAGGTTTGTTAACAACCAGGATTAGAGTATTATAGGGGATCTGGCAAAGCTGATTCCTTGTTTAAAAAATTTGTCTTAGAAGAGGCTGGATCCTCTTAAAAGGAATATTGTTTCTTACTGTAGCAGGTTACTCCCTCCATCTTGATTGGGATAGTGTTGATCTGCCTTCCTGGGGTCCTGTTAGCCCATATGGCCTTACTCATTTTTTTTTAAACAAACCTTCAGCAAAGTGAGCTCAGTTTCTTTTCCTGGTTTGGTTGGCAAGTGAAAGCTGGAACTGGAGTGTGTTATTCAGTGGCACTTGCAAATGGAGTCACTGCTTTTTGGGTGAGGTTTTTGAGCATTTAATCTCCACAACAAATCTCCTTCCAGGAGAGGAATTGGACAGTCTAGCATGTGTAAAAATCTATGCCTCAAATTCTGTTCTCCCAGCTTTTATTCAAAGGGTTGGAGCAGTGGAGGCTGTTGAGTCTGAGTTGTCACTCCTATCATGGCCATAAAGAAGTATATATACTTCAGTTGAGTCCTTACTATTAACTGTATCAGGGCTCCTATGGGGCCCTTTGGCTCATCTCACAGCCATTGTATTTTGCCCTCTGGTTAGTGCCAGCCTTCTCAGTGCCCAGGCTCATTTCCAAGATTGCCTGATCACTTTTCTTAACCAAGAATTGCAAAGCCTAATGAAAAACACTGAAATTTTTGATCTCTAACTTCCATTTTATTCTCCTGTTTTTAAAAATGCACATACTGCTGATCTCCCTGTGCACTTATGCCAAAGGGTGCATCATTGCAAGAATTGCTTTGCCTCAGCATGGGATGTCCTGTCCAATTTTAAAAGGAAGGTCATTTTTGTCCTTGGGTTATAATCTAGCAGTGTCAAGAGGAGGGGACTTACTGCTGTCGAGTCCTTTTCAAAGTGTGGGCCTTCCCTGTGTGCAAAGAAGGGCACAGAAATTGGAACCAGTGCCAGACCAGGCAGCACAGGATTAAAATTAAGATAAAAAGTGTTTAAATAATTCTCAACTTTTTCTTCAGGTGTTTTGCTAGCCTAACACACCAGAAGTGGTGACATTTTTGGGCACCATTTACTTAGTTTCTGTCTGTTCAAACTTCTTATCATGTAACTGCATAAATGCCAACACATAAAAAAAAAATTCTTCCATGTATCTGTTCTCTGACATGCCAACCTCAATTGTGAGATTGTATAATTCAGAATATCATCCAATGGCCAGAATGTGTTACAGTGAATCACCATCTTTTTTTTCTTAATTATAGGCTTACAGCTATGCAGGACCCATTCACCCAAGATCTACTGGCAGGGATTGATGCAGCATAGCTCATGTGTTAAAGGGCCAACAACAGATGAAAACAAAGCAAAACACATGCACACACACACACACACACACACAGACACACACAAAAAAAAAACTAGAGGGAATTCCCAAAACCAAGACTGACTGACATATGGGAATACAGAGACCGGGTGGGGGAAAATCTCTAGGTTCTATAATTCTACTTAATCATGATTCCTAAACCAGTGGTGCCACAAATATTTCCACAAGGAAGAACCATATGTTCCTATGAAGGGAAATCATATGTTCCCATGAAGGGGAACTAGATGTGTGGAATCGAATGTCTCAGCATGCACACTTGAAACTTGGCCAAGTTATTGACTTTATTATATTTAGTTTTCTTTTTCTCAAAGTATACCAAATAGTGGAGTGAGTCATACACACTCAGGGAGGAAAAAGCAGGAGTTTTCTTAAGCAAAGGGAGCCTCAGCAGAAATATACCTAAGTCATTTCTAATTTTTGCAGAATAGCACCTCTCTCAAAATGGTATGACTTGGGCAAACTCACCCCATCTCCAATGTCTCAAGTGGTTGGCTGTCAACAAGTTCATCAGCCACCCTATATCTTCAACATGGAAAGGGGATTTCTTGTAGTGCCAGACCTGTCCAGGGAGGCTGGAGTGGGGGCTACTCTTGGGCCCACTTTGGGGACCAATTTGATACCAAAATCTTGGGTTTTTTTTCTCCATTGCCAATCCAATAATGAGGACAAAGTTATGAGGAAACAGTAAAAAGGGTTTTTCTTTTCTTTTTTCCTTTAATTTAATTTTTTTTGGTATTAGAGAGTGAACCCAGGGCACTTAACTACTGAACAATATCCCCATCACTCCCTGCCCCTTTGTGTATTTTATTTAGAAACAGTGTCTCACTGAATTGCTTAGGACCTCAGTAAGTTGCTGGGGCTGGCTTTGAACTCGAAATCCTCCTGCCTCAGGCTCCCAAGCCACTGAGATTATAGGTATGTGCCACTGTGCCTGGCTAGTAAAATGTTTTATTGATTTTCGAGCAAAGGGGAAATAGGAGACTACTGTGATTCTCCCTGTCTGTGATTCAGAACTGGGATCTAAATGTTATCTGTAGATATAATTAATTAGTGTCTATAAGGAGTCCTTGATGGAGTCATTGCTCCAGTTCCCAGGTTTAGAGTTTCCTTATTCATGTGGGCAGTTGTATTTTTTGGAGCAGTGAAGGACATGATAACCTGGGATGGGAAGATAATGTTAGTCATTTTCCTCCTGCTATTAGGAACGGAGAGAAGGGGAAGAAACAGAAACAGAAAATAAAAGGGGAAAAAAAAAAAAAACAATGTCAGTTTTAAAATAAACCACCTGGTTTGCACTCAAAGCACAAAGTAGACATTATTACAATTTCATTCATTATGTAGTTTATCCATGGAGATATGGTGACAGCATCTTTTGTTTGCTTGTTGTTATTGTAGTTGTAATACTGGGGATTGAACCCAGAGCCTCCTATGTGCTAGGTAAGCACTCTAATACTGATCTATATTCTCAGTCCTGCCTCTAGATTTTGAGATCATGATTGTTTGAAAGTGTGAGAGAGTAGCAAAGAACACATATCATATACCATATTCTTAATGGATGACAGGTTAAAGTTAAGGTCCTAGAAATGTGTCTGGCTTTTTTTTTTTTTTTTTCGTGTGTGTGTGTGTGTGTGTGGATAAGATTGACTGTTTAACTTTTCTTCTCAGAGATTTTACTCCCTTTATCTTAAGGAGTGCGATGTTTTGATGGGGGTCCCTAATCGCCTCAAGGACCTTTGGGAAGGAGGCAGCCTGGAAAGAATCCAGGAGCACTTGGGCAAAGTGCTTATGTTCCACAGCCCAGAACTTTGAGGTCATTATTGAGTGAAAACTGCTGCTTTGTGAGGTATTTGGACGATTCACCTGGCTCCTCTCAACCTTTATATCAAGAACTATGAATACTGTGTCTCAGAGCACATGCACCCAAGACTGGAGCCTTGGTCACTGAGCTTTGAATAAAGTGAGTGAGGAAATTTGTGTGGCAGGAAAATTGTGTGGTACTGTGGTACATTTTATTAGAAAATAGCACACTCCTCAAGTGAGATGACTAAATTTTTGTTATTGGAGTCCTAGTCCAGATAATTGACTATGTGGGTCCTAACAAATCAGGTCTGGGTACTTGGCCCATAAACCAAAGGAAAGGAATAATGGTGCAAAGCAGGAAAGGAACTTTAATTAGTACCACTAGATGTGTTTAGCCATATCTTTGGGTCTGCTGACATGGGTTTCTAGATTATATAGAAGAAGGTAACCAGAAATATGCATCATCTAGTAATCTTAGTTAAACTGAGTAAATTGATTATTATCTCCGGGTTGGTGGACTGGCCTTGTCTAAGATAAGAAAGTTGCCCTTGTCTAGGGGCTAGTTTCCACTCATAAGAGGTTTATTGATCAGATCTCTTGTTCCCTAAAACCAAGGTGACTGACTCAGAGCAAAATACACAGGTTACAAATATAGACAGAGATTCCAAGTTGTTGTTGTTGTTGTTTTAAAAATCCTGCTTTTATTTGCCTATTGCACATTTGTGGGCCTAAGGGAAGAGTCTAAGTCCTCGTTACATTTATCAGCCATGGTAGTTTCATTTGAAAAAGAGTATGAAACACCAACTGATAATTCAGAGTAGTTTCTTCAGAAAATGAAGTGGTGGTGCATCTGATTCCAGGTATTATAGTGGTTATGGGCAGGCTTGTTAAGATAAACCTGGTGCTGTCTCCAAATATGTGAACATAAACATAGAGTTGATACGGGACGGATGAAAACTTACTAAATATGAAATTACTGTAAGTGGAGGATGAGCTTGTTAATATTACTATTTAAAAGGCATTGACAAATATCACCAGCTAGCCAGGCTGGCAACCTATGCTGGGTTCACAAAATCTGGCTACATCATCAATAACTGAGAAAACAGCAAAGAAAGCGTGCAAGCACACAGAAATACCCTTTCAAAGTCCAGACGGCTCTTGATCTTAGGGGTCTGTGGGAAAAAGACAGCTTACACCTGGATTCTTTATTTTTTATGGAAGGGGTGCGGTGCACACAAAGGGAGGTTCCATGGAGTGTTCATACCAAAGGGGTCAGGTTCAGGAAGTTGAATCTACCTTCATGATGCCCTGTGGTCAGTAGCTTGATTGACATCTTGGCAAGTCACGCTTATCTCAGGTGCTGTGTGGAAACAGGCAGAACGAGAGGAAACTGCACACGTGTGTTGCATGGCCCAAAGAGCACGCAACACCAGGTCAGTCCTCCCATATGTTCAAATGAACATAGCTCACACACACAGCCCATGGCTGACTCACGACAGACAAACATATTTTATTTCTTGTTTCTAGGATGTAATATTTGTCCACAAGCTTGGTTGGTTTGCTAAAAAGGTCTGCAGCTCCCTTTTGTAATTTTAATGTCAATGGGTGAACTTTAATAATAACTTTAAAAATTAACCACTTGTTAAAATACGGGTTAAAAATAATATTGAGAATGTTCAAATAATACAAAAAGATATTATATACCAAAAATTAATTTGCAATTCTTATTAATTAAAAATATTTATATCTATAACATTGCCCAATTTTCTTTTCTTATATGATTGTAGAAATGTGAATGCTCACTTATTTTTTTCAGAAAATCATACAGATTTTACTATAAATGTTCATTGAGCGTCTAAAGTCAGGATCCTGGACTTTATGCACTAGTTCCTTTAGGAAACACATTCTTTTACATAAGATTTATTACAATATACACACATGCAAAATCTATTTCAGCATTTATATCTCATGAAGCACCCATGAAACATTTGAAGTGAGCTGAAATATGATGTCAAAATAAAATACAACCTAGAGTGGAAAGATGTCATGAGGGAGCACATTGGAATGGACACGGGCAGACACAAGGCCCTTTTGCACTTAAGTTTCATCCTGGAGGTCATAATAAAAGGTAATGATCAGTTACACTATTCAGTTACAATAAAGGGGAAGCATGCTGACTCTTTAGAGCAGCTTCCCCTGGCATTTACTTTTGAGGGAAATATCTTTTGTAAGTATCACACAGGGAGGCAGAGGAGACTGAGAAATGGCAATAGAGAGCACCCTCAGTGTGATCCATAATGCTTACAATAGCACATGTTCTATGTGCACTTCCTAGGGAGGATTGTTGTAGTTGTAGTTTTCCTTGTTCTACATCTTATGGATGCACATGAATGCTAAGACTCTGTGGCCCCATGTCCTTCTATTTGATGGCTGGGTCTTATTTGGGACAAACCTAGATTTTATGGAGGGCTAGATGGACTTTATGCTTTTAAATATTTTGTAAATATTTTCATCAAGATTTTTAATGCATATTTTTAAATGACACATACTAATTGAACATCTATCCTATGTTTGGTGTGGCATTGCAATGCAAGTTTGCAATGTGTAATGATAAGGTCTGGGTATCTTGCATATCTGGCAACTCAGACATTTTGTCTTCCATTTTTTATAGGAGTTTGGCAGTTCATAGCTACAGCCTGTATCAAGTGAGCTGATTTATACTGTATTTCTTTCTAAGGTAAAGTGATTAAAATATTTTGGTGAAAATTAAAGAGTCCAAAGGAATGTAGCACCCTTTCTATATCTATAGGTGGCATAGGCCTTGAGGAAACTGAAATTTGTCTTTTAGGGGGAAAAAAATCCATGTCAGCACACCTCAAGATGGGAAGCAAAAATTAATAATCTAGATGATTTGGCTGAATATATTCTTTTTCAATGATGCTTTATTGAGATAAAATTTATGCACCCAAAGATCCCACCCTCTGGTACACCTTGCTTGTAACTTAAGGTAGAGAAGAGAATAGATAGGAAAGTCAGAGGGAACAATAGAATACTGAGAAGGAAGAAGAAAACATCTCTCTTTCCCTAAAAAAAAAGTTGATAAAAACTAAAAATTCATTGATAAAAACTAAAAATAAGATCTTTGAGACCTTATAATTTTTACTGTGTAAAAACATATTCTACAAGCATTCTCAAGCTTGCACTAAGTTTACAGAAAGGCATATTAGTGCCACATGTATAGATGAGGAAGTTGAGAGTTCCCAATATCATTCAAAGCTGAGGCAGAGTAGAAACTGCAAAAAATAAATGAATGGATGGATGACTGAATCAAAAACTGGTCCAAATTTTATAAGTAAAATAGAAATGCCATATCTGTAGATGAGAAAGTTCATTTTATTTATCTGGAGCTACAAAACAGTCATTGTGTATTGATTTCAGGAAGCTAGAAATATGCCTTCCTCCAGGGAGATGTGCTCCATGTGCCTCACTGAATGCAACCTGAGGAAGCAGAGGCTCTCTCTGAGCAGTTGTCTCCCAGGGTCATATGTGCCTAGCATTGATTTCTGGTTCTGGCTAGGAGAAAAATTCAAGTGGCTTGAATTTGAAACAAAGCACAATTACCACCCATTCTCCCATATATTTTATGCAACAGATTTGGGGGGAAGATTAGCTCTTAGGCCAGAAAAAACTACAAAATATTAATAAGAGCAAAGCAATTAATTCTGTATAATTTGAACTAATAAATACAATCTGATTAGTTCTGTCATCTTTATCCAAAGAAAATCAACTTTTCTGTAAAAGCCAGTCCTGTTGACAGGTAACAGACAGACATGAGTGGTAGGAACATGAAGTTAAGGGGACAGTTCTACAAAGTAGGCCCAGTACACTACCCTCTACATGCTTTCTTTAAAAACAATTTACCACAGTTCTTCCTGACCTAATTCAGTAGTCTATGTTATATTCCTTAGCGAACAACTATATTGAGATATTCAAGCCCCAAAGTTTCCTTTCTGCTGATAAGGAGAACACAAGTTACCCTGTAGGAGAATTTTATGACCTTTAAACCGACCAGATTCGAGAATTCAGGGAAATCATCATCATCATCATCATCATCAAAGCCCCTATACATAAAATCTGTAAGAATAAATTCCAGTTAGAATGGTCAGCACAGGTGAAGGAACTTGAGTTACCTTGGGTCTTTTCCATGCACAGTGGGGACTTGGAAGTCTAGTGTAGTCCTGCCATCAGTCAGAGTCATGGTAGACCTGGGCAGGACTCTCTGGAAATTTCTTTGGGACCACCAATAAAACTGGAGAAAGGAGGTGTTTGCCATCCTCTCCTCTCTGAGTGGACCCACTCTCTCCTTGAAAGTAACCCCCTTTTCCCTTTGCTTTCCCTTCTAATAAACTCATGCCTTGTACTCTGAGTGACATGTCTGAAATCTTTCCAGCATGATTTGGAGAACTGGTAATCTAGGCTGTCTCAACTCAGCTGTGTCTTAGAGCCCTTGCTCTGTATCACTGTCAGATCTGCACTAGAGATTGCCTGTGCACTTTTCTTCTTATACAAATTAAGTTTGGTCACCATCTGGGTAGAAAGTTTAACCCATATTCCCAAACATCCCATATTCCAAAATATCTTTGGAATTTAGGTACATTTTATAGAATACTTTGAGTATGGTCTATAATACTTAATATTATTCCAACAATTTAATGCATATTTAGAGGTACTTTGTAAACTAAATCACAATGGTTATAGTACAACTGAATGAAAACCTTTAAAAAATATCCCATTTTGCTCATACCCTGTATTCACATCTTTACCTTAAATCTGTGTTGAAATGGGGAATGAATCAAAATCCTCTTTGCTGGTCCTTACACTGGCACTTGGACTTGCATTGCTCCACCAGGTGACCACCTCCGATGTCTGTTCAACATCCTCATTGGAGAGCCCTTTCCTGATGACCTGTCCTCTTGCTTTTTTTTTTTTTCCTCTCCATTGCACTGGTACTTTACATTTTTCACATGTAACCTTTAAAAAGACCAATATCAAGGAAATGTTCCTGATAACTTTTCTCCATGCTGTATTTCTTCAGACTGAGAGTAAAGGCTGAGAAGCTGCTCCCCCTATCTATTGGATTCCAAGTGGAAATTGTCCCCCTGTCCAGGTCTGTCCAGCCCAGGCTAACTAAATATGCATGTTTCCTGCTTTTACCTCACTTTGCTGTCTCTTCTCTTTGAAGAGCTCTCCTTACCCCAGAGGATCTATACATGGAAATGTGAAACAAAAAGTTCCTATATGTTCCTTTAGAGCTGGCTTTGAAAAGGACCAATTTTCCTGCCAGTTTCCTTTTCGATATTTATGGACTGTGACTAACAGTGCTACGTAGCTTCAGTGATTACTGGGATATTTTGTTTTGTTCCCACCTGCATCTTCAGTGCCTTCTATGTAACATCAGCCTAGTATATACTGAAGTGATTTTACAGGTGAGAAACAGGTTTGGAGAGTGTAAGCTAGGTCATCTTCTTGAAAGCTTCTGTGGTTAGTAAATTTAAGGAAAAGAATCTCAACCCCATTATACTTTAGATATGAGATGTCCCCCACAAATTCATGTATGACAATATAAGAATAGTCAGAGGTGAAATGATCAGATCACAAGAGCTCTAATCTAAACAGTGGATTGATCCACTTGTATGAATTAACTGGAAGGTAACTATAGACAGGTAAGGTGTGACTGGAGGAAGTATATCACTGGGTGTATTCCTTTATGGTTTATATTTTGTGCCCTGGTGAACAGAGCTCTCTGTCTGCTTCCTGACTACCATGTACTGAGCTGCTTTCCTCTGTCACATCCTCCCACCCTGATGTTCTGCTTTATCTTGGCCCAGAGATATGGTATTAGCTGACCATAGACTGAATCTGAAACCGTAAGCCAAAATAATCTTTCTTGTCAGGTGTTTTGGTCACAGCAAAACAAAGCTTACTAAAACAAATCCCATATATTGTCTCATGAGCTAGGAAGCATGTTATGGGCATTTTTAGGAAAAGAACCATCTGAGCATCCCCTGGAAATCTGTTGGCCAAGTTGTAGATAACATTAAATATTTTTAGGGTACAACATGCATGTAATTTGTGCTTGGCCTTAGTTCTCTAAAGTATAATTGGGCCAAATATTTTCTGAAGTTTTGGTTTTCTACCATAGATTAAAATTAATTTAGGAAAAAAATCTTGCAAATGTTGTGGGAATAGACATTGAAAAACAATAGTCTTGGAGTTTTATGATCATTTACATCTATTTAATGAGAAGATTTTGATTAAGTTGAAAAATTAAAGGACAGGAAAGAGGTCAGTGGTAGGGAGAGGTGTTTTTTTTTTTAACTTTTTCTTCTTTTTTTAGTAGACATTTAATTTTTAAGTTTTAAAAATTTAAATTAAATGTAGTTTAGCTGATACATAAAAATAAACATTTTACACATTAATGGATACCATATATGGTTTTAATGTTGTATTATATTAAACATGTATATTTCCTCAAATATTTATCATTTCCTTTTGTTGAAAATATTTCAAATCCTTTCTTGTATTATTTTGAAATATATAGTCCATATTTGTTATCTACAGTTGCAAAGGCAAGGAGATGGTCTTTTTGGGGGATGATGGCATTTGTCTATATCCTGACATTGAGACTCACATGACTACATTTTTGAGAGTCTGAAAAGCTCACTTAAAGAGGGGAAATTTTACTATTTAAAATTCTGTTTAGTATTGTCATTTTTGTAATAAACATATTAATTGAGATGTAAGGATATTCCTAGTTAGGTGTATATCCTGCATTTAAACAGAAGAATGATATTTTCTGTGATCTGGAACATTTAATATATTGAGTTCTTAGGTAGTATTATTTAGTATTATGTAGAATTTGTCTGTATCTTTAAAAAATAAATATTATCTACAACTCTAAATATTCTCTAATAAAGCTAAATGTTCTTCGTTTGTGTTTATTCTCTTTCTAAATTTTGCATGTACTTTAGTACTTCCACTGTTACCCACCCTCTACTCCCCCCCAAAAAAAAAACCAAAATGAATCTTTTAGTTTCACTTGCTTCTAAGTTGACTTAAAAATCACTAATTTTGGAGGTGGGCAATAATTATCTATTATTCTTCACTAGCTTTGCTGAAGATAACTCCTCTGATATTTGGGTTATAATGATACTGGTTGCCTGGGTTACTCTTCAGGAACCTTAAGGCCATTTTGCTGAAAACACTGACTCTTCCCTTGGACCTGTACCTCTCTGATGGGTGCCTAGGGTGAGATGAAATGTTTGCATCTTTGTCTTCCTTTGTCTCTCCTCTTTATTACTTTGGTCTTTGCAACAGGTTCTACTCAGCTCTGCATGTAAATATGTTTATCATTTAAGAAATGACTTGCCCAACAATAAAATATGGAGTTACCATGGCATAGGCTTGCCTAATCTTTCTTTTTCCCTACTCCAGGGATGAGAGCGCCTACCACCCACCAAATACAGAAACTCCAGACCATGAAAGGAGAGGTAGCACCAGAAGTTGCAGAAGATTTCTGCTTATTCCCAGAAAAGACATGACTATTCCTCTTTTTTTATAATCCTTTTTCCCTTGTTGTTCTTATTCTTTATCTATAGCCACTCAACTCCCCGGAGTTGTGAAGCTCATTTGTGAACAAGGCTTCCTCTTCTCCATTCTTTGGTCACTGAATGAAGTCTTTCTTTGTACCCAACACTTATCTGTAGAACATGTTTCTTGGGGGATGAACATCCAAGGCTAAGTTAAGGAACACTATCAGAATTGAGCATCCCTAGAAGAATTCTGTAAGTCTACTTAACATGATTTCCAATGACTTCTTGCTATGATTATAATAGATGTGACTTGTAATTTAATTTTTCTTTTACTAGGAATTATTGAGAATAAGGTATGCAGAGATATGTAGGATTGAATAATAGTGGACATTACAATATTATTGCTTTTATGTTAGCTATCATCTGTTGGAAAATTCAATTTTCAAGTGCAAATATAATGTTTAGAAATTTTATTTTTGCAGGGAAGTGTAAGGAAGATACTTTTATAAATACATTTTTTATTTACTGACAATGTAGGAGAGAGGTAAGGGCAAATATTTCTGTTCTATGACCTGGGCTTGAAGAACATTTTAGTGCTAAATACTGAAGTTATAATGCAAATACTGGCCCACATGCTTAGGGATCTTTGCAACTTTTATAGGAGAGCCTTGGGGTATTCCTAGAAGGGTTATTGTTACTGAAACTATTCTTGTCTTTATTACATTGTCCTTCCAGTGCTATTGGAAATTTTGTACAAAAAAATGTGAACTTGTTTCAGGAATGAAAAGAATATGTTTTGGTTTTTGAAAAGTGAACAGATTCAGTGGTCAGGTTTAATTTTTGAGATTCACTTCATTTGTTTTGCTTGAGGTAAATGAATATAGTTAACAGGACAGGTCTAAAAAACCAAAATTATTTTCTTTTAGACAATTGCCACATTTTCTAATTTTACAAATATGTTATTTTCAAGCTGAAGTATATAGCACTTTTTAAATTAATACTGCAGGTTGCTGTGTTTCCTAAAAGTACAATCAGGTAGGAACACTGTTGTGGGAAGAAGGCTTTTATTCTTATGCTGTCATATAAGGGAGGCAGCAGGTAAGAATGGAATTCCCAGGCCATCTCCCTAAGAGAGAGAAATGCATGTTTTTTAAATAGTATCTATGGGGCAGGCAGGGCCTTGGTCTTCCTAGTGTCAACCCATGTGGAGGGTGGTCTTAGTTGCTTCTGTGCTTTTCTTCATTGTGGAATTTCATGGGTGGCATGTCTCATTATCATCTTTAACCTCTATCTCAGGGTATGATTTTTACTATGCCAATAAAGTAAAAGTTGTTATAGGGTATTCCAGTGGCTGGTTTTTACATGGCTTTGCCTTCTGTAATTAGGAAAATCTCTTTGAACATCTTATTAGAAGAAAGTAAAATATTAATATTTGTTCCTATGTTTGACTGGTAATTAGCTTAAGAACTTTGCTTTTTTCAATCTCATTTTTCCTGATATATCTATTGATCCCATAGTCTTGAGAACTGATTGAAATGACACCATTTCCTACTCTTTTCTATTTTAGTGTTTTTTGTTTTTGTTTTTGTTTTTTTTGAAGCATATATTTAACATCATAGTTTGGGTTGTTTTGAAACTCAGGAATTAATTTGTTTTAAGATAGAGAAAATGTATGTATCTTTTAAGGTGTTACAAAATTGCTTTTATTTTTAAGTGATTTAGTAATGAGAAATACAAAATAAGAAAATAAACAGGGATTCAATATTCTACCAAAGTCTGAGCAGCTTACCTTGATCTATCAAATGCTAGCCTATTTGTTGTTTACACATATTCCCATATTTTTTTATTTTTTCCCATATTCTGGGATCTCAGAAATTTGTGTTTAGGGCTCCTGATATTTTCTGACCTGCAAGTCCAAATTTTGTTTTTCTGAGAGATTGCTGAGATATTTGCTTAGAAATATTAAGGGGTCTAGGAACACTCCTATGGCAGCTTTTTTCTTCATGGTTTTCCTGAATGTTTCTCTCTGTGTGTGCAGTTTTCATATACAAAGACCCAGAAAGGAAAGAGTACAGGGTAGTGAGTTTGATCTAGTGCTATTCTCTCCTTTCGGGTATTTTGGTTCCTAAAGTCCAGGATGCTTTGGTTGCTTTCATGAAAACTATTCACATTGCAGATACCAGAAGCTGATGCTGATCCATTAATGAGGACAAGGTTTTGAGAAGAAGGAAAAAGGTGCTTTATTGCTTTGCTAGCAAAAGAGAATATATATTGGAATCCTGACCCAGAGACAGTGATTGTAAATAATCAGGGGAACAGTGGTCTTTAAAAGAAAAAATGCAGGGAGATTTAAGATGGTGGACTAGAGAAAGGTTGCATTCCTCGTTGCTCCATGGCTGAGGATCCAAGCAGCAGGAATACTGCTTCTTAGCAGGGAGA